TGTGTGTGTGTGTGTGTGTGTGTGTGCATACCGGCAGACGGAACACTGCCTTTGAGGCTGCAGGGCGGTGAACATGACGATGACAGAGTAGTTCCTGGGTGGGGCCTTGACAAAGCGACGGAACTTGTCACCGTTCATCCTCACGACCGAACGGCGAGAGGACCACTCCATCATCTGGTCAACCTTCTCTGACAGCACATTCTGAACACACAGACAAGACAAAGTGCAAAGAGGACAATGTTTGCTGTTGGGATTTTCAGATTGAATCAGAAGAGTAATTCTTGTGATTTCAACAATGCTAGGGAACAGCAGATAAAAAATAAAGGCAATTAAATGATTTAAAGTGACTATTGTCATGGTGGGGAAAGCATCTAAAGTAAAGAGACGGTTACAAAGACAGTTTGATAAAATGACCCAATTGTAAACTCCTCAGATATCACCAGGATCCCCTGCAGAATATATCAAAATCCTTGACTTGTGTTGCCTGGAAAAAGGCAAGGTCTCTTAAATTATATAAAGTTTCAACTATTCCATGGCCAGGAGGAGCTTTGCTGTACAGTTTAGACTTTCAGCTTTAAAAGCCCAAGGCTGAAACAGAGCAAGGTGTTGCTGGATCCAAGTTACTACATCTAACTTTTAATAGGTTTGGCTCATGGCCTATACTGACTAATAGTATACAAAGAATCTGGAATACAACAAACCTAACCATTATTTACAGAAACGGAACCCTGACCTGGCAGTCTAGGTGTGTGTGTGTGCATGGAAAAATGTACAGCTCTTGTGTCTTTGTTGTGTTTGTGTGTAAATTGTAGTCTGCTGTTGATTATATCTGGCCCAGCTTAGCTAAAAGGTCACTACAGAGTCAGCACAAGAACACAACACCAAAGGTAAATAACACACAGGATACATGTGTACACATATCAGCTAGGGCCTGTGCAAGGTTTCTAAAGCTGAAATGCTAATTATGGCAAAGTCACATAAAGGGGCATGGGAATGCTACTTGTGTATTCATGCACATACCCAAAGTGTTCTTGTACTGTGTGTATTCCTGCCTGTGTGTCTGCATGATTTTGTCTGATTTCTCAGCAGAACACTGCTTAGTTCCCACCAGCATCAGCTTTGCCAAAACTTGAGCTCTGAACCAACAGCTGATGAAATATTGAAAACTGCTGATGAAACACTTGTTTCCCAACCTCTGCTGATCAAACTGTACAGCAGGAAAAAAATCTGTCCGACAAGCATATTCAAATTTACAGTATTAAACTCTTAAAACATTTGAGTCTACTACCTCTTTATAGGGCTGGGCGATAAAGCGATGGCGATGATTAGCGCGATATAACTTCCCCTCAATAGAAATATAAGACATGGTCAATAGAACATCAATAGAACTCATTTCATCCATGTTTTGATAGACAACACAAATAGTGTCTGAACTAATCATGTGGCTGGAATAGAAGTCACTGCTTCAGGACAGACGCACATTAAAGGTCGTCCTGTATGTGTCAGAGTCTCTGTCTGAGTCTGCTTCCTCCTGCGCTCATTTTACACTTTACAAGTCAACACCAGCACTGATCACAAGTTACTAGGACATGTACAGGACTGATGTTTTCTTTGTGTTTGTTTGATTCGCTCTAGAGTTTATGAGACACATGTTTAAACCTGCTATTTTCTTTTTGTTATTTCTGCAGATTATGACGCCACATTTATCCAGGAACATAAATATGAATTCAACAGATGTTTATAAAGATCACTTCTACGTGTGATGATTAGAAAACATCAGAGGAGCATAGTCACTTGTTGACCTCTGGAGTAATGCACCTCAGTGCAGTGGCTCTGATTTGATTTATATCGCGATACATTTCGATATCAACCGATATGAAAAATATTATCGAGAAAAGCTTAAAGGGAAAGTTCACCAAAAAATTAAAAGTCACTAAGAGTCTCAGGGGTAAATGTGTTTTTAATTTTCAATTTTCAGTGAACTATCCCTTTAACGTTAAAATAACAAAAATGTAAACAGCTGAACAATATATCTAAATGTAAACACAAACATAGAAAATAAAAAACCCATATTACTTCTAAAAGGGTATATCTCTAGAAATAACAAAAACAGTGTGAAGAAAACCAGTGGAAAAGATTTGCGGGAGACAGGCTGTTATAGAGGGTAAGAGGAGGGTGAGGTATATGAATCACTTTAAACATCAAGTTGGTTGTTCGTTAAAGCTTGATGCTGAATTTGCTCTATTTTTAACAGGATGAATAACCAACATAGCGGCGCCTATCTTATTATTTATTTATATATGTATTATTAAAAGATTTTGCCCACCCCCTGTGTGTGCTGACCTTCTGAACACGGGCTACAACATTCTTCTTGCTTCTCAACCTCTGCTGCCAACCAGCATACGCAAGTCTCACATGGCAGCAGATAGACGTTGTGGGCATTGGTAATAATACTCTTTTCAAAATGTCTTCCCAATCTACAATCAATTTATACCATGATGATCATCTCAACTCTGTGTACAGTATCCTTCCTTCTCGTCCTCCCCTTCTATCTTTCTACCCACTAGTTCACTAGTATGGGATCAAGAAGACAGAAGCTAAATAATTTAGCACTGCACCTCACTCCTACTGCTAATCGAGCACAAAATATCTTCTCTCTCATGAGCATGCACACATGCACAGCACACACACTCACACAAACACACACAGAGGCTTGGCTGCAGACATGGACCAGAGATGAAAACTAAATCTCTCAAGTAAACTGTGAGACGCAGAGAGAAAGAAAAAGTGGCAAAGAGAGACAGTAGTAAGACACATGTTAATTTTCTGTTAATTGTTCACTTCAGACAACACACTCTACCACCAATGAGCCATGCATAGTACGATAAGGAAAGTTCACCAAGAAACTGACTAAATATGAGTACAACACACCAACACAACCACACACAAATAGGACTGCACGATCGCAGACGGCAAATTGTTCTTTCAGTGCACCTTTGTCTTTAATTTATCTCTAAAGTTTTTGCTCGTGTGCATTCAGCCACAAAAGGAGAGCTGTCAGTCCTGGATGCCAATCATGCTGGCAGTAATGATGCACTGCCTGCCTCACATTCTGCAAGAGCACACACACAGGAACAGACACAAACAAACAACTGAGCTGTAAATATACCAAAATATACTTGCGAGGGAAGTGTAAGCGATGATAAAGGTGCTTAAAAATAGTGGAACGGAGGGCAGCTGAGGAGGAGAGGCTGTAATATATATAACGTAGCACATGTTTTTAGGAATAAGATGTTGTTTGGGAAGTCTAAATATAACCTGTCCTACCAACACTATTAAATAAATTGAATAAATTGAAAACTAAACAGACTGGCTGATGGTCATCATGATGCGAGACAAGAATTGTGATTGGACCCTCCCAGCCCAACACACCCTGACAAACTCACACATACAATAACACATTCCAGCAATTGATTGAATTATTGTTTATTACTGGTCATGCCGTAATCCACTTTTTTGGTCCCAATCCCATCTTTCAATACTGGGTACAATACTTCATTCACATTAAATAATAGCATGGGACATTGAAATAAAGGGGATGTAGACTAAATAATCTTACATGACTGTTTAATCAGCTCCCAAATACTGGAGGTCATGGTTCAAAAATGAAAAGTCTGAAAGATTAAATCATTGATGTGATACAAATTAAAGTTTATTTTGAAGACAGTGACGTGATGCAACATGCTGAGCCATCTTGTTGGATTTGTTGAAACAGCAGAAAAACCTGTGGTTTAGAGGTGTTATAGTGGTGGTTCTTCTCTCATAAGCTATCTTTGACTAATGCTGAAAAGCAGGATGCAGAGAGCACACAAACTGTTAGTTAAAGATATAATATTTAGTAATTATAGTTATGATTCACAATCTGTGTATTTATTATTTTAACTAGTGACAGTGATGCTCAGAACCAGTTAAAAATGAGAAGTCGAATGTTTTCTGCAATTAATTCCTATTGCTAATGATGTTTGGTCATTGGTTCGTTCAGGTTAACCTGCAGGAGTCTCTAAGCACTGAAAGTCAAAAAATTCATGAAGTGTGAATCCGAGTCTCGAAGTGTTGAGTTTAGAAATGAAGGGCGAAATTCTGTCAAACAGCCAGGAATGGCATCTGTCACAGATGGTGAGCTTCTGCAAAATATTAACTGTCAGAAAATAATTACACGAGAGGGAGTAATTCAGTCATTTGACAACATTGGCCTCTAGGAGTGTGAGCTGTCGAAACACGTCTGACCAAACAAACATTTTTGAAGTCACCAAATTCTGGTTCACCGTCATACAGCAAAGGGAGAATGGAAACAAAAGTGTTCAAATCTATTCACTGTAAGTAATGTTTAAGTCCTTCAGGACACTGTTTACATCATGTGCTGAGTTTATAATTACAACAGGTAAACGTGGTAAAAATGTTGTTCTTGCATAACAAACACAGCAAACAGAAACTGAAAAGGAAACAACATGTACTAAAAGAGGAAGCTCATTAAAAACAAAATACCTGCCACTAACAATGATAGATTCAGATAATATGCCTGGTTCAGCTACAGAGTTCACGGTCGTAGCTATTGCCTGTATTAAGACAAAATGATGCCTGTAATCTGCAAAGTAGTTAAAACTCTCATAAAGAGCACTTTCTGCACCGAGCTCTTTGAATATCTCATGTTAGGCCTATAAGTGACTCCCTCACATCAGTGTTATGACTCTCTGCTTCGTCTGATCCACATACACAAACATGTACAATACATAAGCTCTCCAAACAGCTTAGGGCCATTAAGGCATTTATTTTCTACCCCAGTGAGCACAGAGGGCACTAAAATGAATCACATCTACACTGAGTAAGCCATTTTCTGACATGACCTCTGGGTAAAATCCGGAAAATGGCTGCGGAGTTTAGCCGTAGTCTGCCTTCCACACAAGCACAACATTTTTGCATCTGTGGCATATTAAAAGCGTCAACCTGCCTGTTTTCTTGCAGTGAATCCAGCAGGGATCCCTGCAATATTCTTAAATGGACTTCTCCTGGATTTCTACAGACTTTATACTAGGAGGTCAGGTGGAGAAAGTCACACATGCACCTCCTCTGGAGAAAATAAGGGATACAAAAATATGGTGCATGTCTGAAAGCAACTGTAGATACAAAACTGGTCTGCAGAT